GCAGCTTCTTCAGTCTAAAGAAATGTTTAAGACTGAAGAAGCTGCTTGGACAAGTAGCGAAACATAAAAGCATCCATCAAAAGTGTAAAAGGACTGCAAGGTGTGACTCTGTCAGTCTTTGCTTTCTGATGATCTTTGCAGTTGTTCAGATCTGTAATGGCTGAGATCATCCATCCTGGTCGCAGTCATTTAGGTAGTTGGATATCCAAATTGCCATTGCTTCAAATGTAGCTCCCAAGTTTGCATGTCATTCAGTGAAGCGAGCCCTTGTGTTCTTTCTTGGAAAGGAAATGGCCAGTAATGAGCTGAAAGAGATCCGGAAAGCCATGACCAAGGAGGCCATCCGGGAGCATCAAATGGCCAAAACAGGAGGGACGCAGACAGACCTTTTCACCTGTGGGAAGTGCAAGAAAAAGAACTGCACCTACACTCAGGTGAGATTCGAGACTTCCACAGGGTAATTTGAAGATTTCTCCTTACAGGAAAAAATAAGGTTGTCATAGAAATAGGAATATTTCAGCACTGACCACAAGTGGTGCTAACTTTAACTCCTAACACCAATTTTCTTCCATGTCTGACAATATAAAAGAGTGCAATCATTAGATCTGCCCATTGTGCAAAGTGACCCCTTGGTAATAGAGACCAGTCTTTTGTTGGAGAATTTAGGGATACCGTAAAATCTTGGACAAAATCTATGTCACGAAGGCCACTTTCATATGAACTTAGGACAATTCTTTAAACACTTGGTTTATTTAGTGGGTGGGAAAAGCTGAGATTTGAACATCAACCCGACTATAAATATTTTTTAGAAAGGGCAAATAAATATTTAACCACCATCTTAAAAAAAACAACCCTATTCTCTTTCATTTCTAAGAAGGGATTGATTTCTTCATAGGGTCCATTTATCAGGAATCTCAGTGATGGGTGAATATATTTTATATTTATTTATTTAATTACATTTGTATAGCTGCCCATCTCACACAGTGACTCTGGGTGGCTTACATATACCATATTAAAGTGTTCTTGCATGGAGAGCTTAGATTGTGTTGACCCATTTGGAATACTATATACCATTCTGGTTTCCCCCACTTTACAAATGGTATCTTTGTCCCAAAGAGGGTGAACCAGGAGTGCCATATTTATGGGGTTCAATAGAAGAGAATATATGTAGCTCAAGGTTGAACTGTGGAGTCCTCGGTGCTCTCTGGGCTTGGTTGTTTTCTTGCAGATGTTTCATTACCCAACTAGGTAACATCATCAGTGCTAGTGATGGGGTTTTCTCCCTGTTTATATACACCAGCTTGCCCTGCCAGTGTCTATGGTGTGTGGTTTTCCACTGGTGGGCAGGGCATACTATCATGCTATTCCCTTCTATTGAAACCGCATATGGGCGT